CCTGAAATAAGGACAGAGAAAAGTTAAAACAATTTATGTTGGGATATTTCAACATTAATTATGACATCATCAGGCCTGAACACAATGGCGGGTATTTCAATACTTGGAGTACGTATTACTTTATACTTTCTTACCTGAGATTAATCAATGGACCTTTCAATACTAATATTCTTTGGTCTGTTTTATGTCTCATACAAGTTAATAGTATAATTGCACCCAAAACGCAGGGTAATGAGCAAATAGGATTATTATATGAGATGAATTACATAACATAAGCAGCATATTTTAATGTCATAAAGTAAATGAATAAATAAATAATTGCCCACCTGTAGAAGTTCTGTAAAATAGTTATTCCCACCGTTCTCTTTAGCATACCTTATGGCTGATAAACGAATATGTTTCATTAACCCTAAACAAAAACAAAAAAAAAAAAAGATTATGAATGTATTGTTAGTCATTACTGGTTTATTCATATTTGCAAGATTTAGTTTTTTTCATTAAAACTATAAAAACATTAAACTTCAATAATATGCGCATGCCTTACTAACTTGACCCCGAGATTTTGTGTTGAATAATAATAAATAGGGCAGAAATTTACACATCATCATCATATCCCCTAAATAAATTCTTTGCGATCATAAAAGCAATTAAAATGATTTGTCTAGGCCTATTTATTCCCAGTTTCAAGTAGCGTGAAGCGGATGAGAGTGTAACACTCCCTCTGGGTGGGACGCTGGTCCACTGCACGTTATCTCCTAGCAATGTGCTGGTACCCATTGATACAGCTGGGTAGGCTGAAACAATGTAGATAAAGATGCCTTGCTCAAGGACACAAGTAAAATGCACAGCGAAGGATTGAATATCAAACCATTTTCCACTGCGTATATTGTGCTTAATAGCTCACCATAGTACCCGTCCGGGCTGAGGGAAGCTTGGGCGTGCGTATGGATCTGACTGGCGCTGGCTTTCGGTAGACAATCCCACATTAACTGAGGGTATTTATAGGCTTTATCGGTTTCATACACTTTCATATACCTGTTAAATATAAAAAATTGGATTTTTTTAATAAGATTATTCAGATAAAAATAAACAAACCAAATCAGTGGTGGATCCAGGAATTCTAAAGAGAGGGCACCCAAGAGAGGACTTTCACATTGTCTAGATAACTTCAGACCCATTATTTGGGGCTGAGGTAAGACAATTTATGATTATGGCACCTAGATGGCTGGACATGGCAAAAAATTTAAACATAATTTCCTTTCTTTGTCTATTTTTAAAAATAATTCGACAAATTCAGGGGGCCCCAGGCTGGCTGGACACCCCTTCTTGAATCAACGACTGCAAATAGTGTAATAATAATATGCAAATTACTGTATAAATTTCCCTTAAAAAGGAAAACAAGATAAAATATATCAAAAAAATATATATATATTAACATATATATTAACAATTGTATAATAACCATGACAAACCATCTCATTGTTGTGTGCATCATGTCGAGAAATTCCTCCTCGTTTACTTCAAAAATATTGTGTTTTTTAGAAATTATTAGAGAATGGTATCCGTTGTACTTGAATGCGTTGGCTGCCGTGCCAGAATGCGTAGATTCAATCCGACCAAACGTGTCTTCTGCAGTTTTACTACCAAAAAATAACCATACATATTTTAATTAATCAAGATGAATGAATAATTGAGTGAATATATAAATAGACAAATAGATAAATTGACAATAATAATTATTATATGCTTTTGATACACCATGTGGCATATGCTAGAATATCAATTGATGTTATTTGGTTCTTAGCAGAGCTATAATTACAATCCAAACGACTCTTCGCAGTCCATATGCACAAATCAAATTCAATCAAAAATTAGGACTGATGATGCCATATATTTAGTTAGTAAAATCAACCACATGAATGAAGTTAATAGTTAGGATAGCATTATGAGCTGAGCGGTTGGCTGAGAGGTATTGTTCTTGCTAAACACCCGGTTCAAATCCGGCCAGCGTCTGGTTTTAATTGGAATCTGATCGCTTGGCTCCTCAAATAATCCTCAATTAGGAGTTAGGCGGATTAAGGACAATGTTTGTAGTTGAGTTGGCAGGCACTGCACTGCGGCTGCCGCGGATTCCCGGGGCCTAGCCCAATGTTCGCTTTTCAATTAGAACAAGGACAAAATAAAGAATTATAGTTATTATTACATTTTTTTGGCCTAATCACAACTGTAAATTGACTGCAATTAAATTTTTAATATATACTGCAACAATATTTTCACAATTTATTGCAGTACACATATCAAAATTGACTTGCATTTCAGTTTTTAATAATGTACTGCAAATAAGCTTTATTAAAAACTCATTTCAAATTTAATACATATTAAAAACTGACTTGCTAGTCAGACGACAATAACATATTATACTGCGAACCATGGTAAATAAAATATATTAATTATTAGCAAGTAAAATGAAGGTCAAAATATTAAAATCACAATGGCATGCCAAACACAGTATGCAGTGGCGAGATCAAGGAATTTAAATTAGTGGGGGCCACAGACAAAGGGTCCAGACCACCACAGCTCCAATCATGGTGGGGGCTGAGGAAAGAAGAGATTATGGCACCTCTAGATGGCTGGAAATGGCATAGTAGACTAATCGATTAATAATTTTCATAGTTTTGGCGCACTTCCTAGATATTTTTTTAAATGTCTGAGCACAACCTCTATCTTAATGCACTACAGAACGTTGGAAGAATAACCACTTTCTTCAATTGAACTTTATTACTTACAACTGATACGCACAGAAATCACAATCTTTTGTTGACTTCTGCATGAGTTCATCAAGGTACGTTTGGACATCTTCCTCATTATTTACACCTGGTCTTTTGGACCTTAATGGGTTGAATATCGTCTCCTCATTTGTATACTTGTTGTAAATGATTGTAACAAACTATGAAAATAAAAAACAATCAAATCAATATGGGAACTAGCCAAGTCCACTTTGTAAGGGGTGAGTTGACTGGTATCCCATCAATATATACCTTGTCATTGTTAATAAATGATTAGGAGATTAATACACAGCAAAATTCCTTGACATTAAACAATATTTCATTTGTTATTACATTGGTCACGAGTAACCATCTTTAATCATGATTACACTTGTAACCAGGGGAAAAAATACTTTCTGCACAACAGTGCTGATGATGTTGTATTACGAGAGTGTTTTGGACTACAATACACCACCCATCATTACATCTGGCACTGATATTGGTGCTTAATAAATGCTTGTCAATTGGTTTATTAATTGATTGTTATACTTTCAGCCCTGAAAATTTGGGGTGATTCTGTCTCTACTTAGAGGGTTAGCTTTGCGTTGAAATATTGACAATTGTTATTTGGTTCTTTGAGCATGTGGTCTTGGAATTAGAAGAAGTCTCAAAGTCGACTGTATTAATATTGAAACACTCAGAGATTCCCATTAACTCTTTTCCACTGCTTGGTTGTAAACTTACTTGAAGTTTGGCTTCGCGTAACAAGTCCTCACTGTTTCCCAGCCACTTGAGCAGTTTAGTTTGAAAAGTATCTGGCACAATGATCTGACCTGACCTCCTTTTGACATCGTAAATCCTTTCAAACATATTGTATGTAGATCTGGAGAAAATAATCTGTGATACATATTAACAGAATCTAGGGAAGAAATTTTGGAATATTAAAAAATGAACTATGCAGATATAATGTGGGGATAATTTGCGATTGAATAAGAAAGATATTGTATAATTAATATATAAAATGTTTTATTAAACTTTTAAAAATTTTAATGGGTCCCACCCACCGAGTACAAGCGAGTCATACAACCGCTCCATGAACCAAATTTTTAAATCAGGCTACTTGAATACATATTGTCCTTGGATACATTATATATTAATGACCCTGGGATTGGAAGGCAAGCATCTTACTTGCAAATTATGGCTCCACTTCAATCAATACCAATCAATATTAATCAATATTCTAACCTGCAGTCTGGTTGGGAAGAGACTTTCCACCTTTCTTGAAAATCTTCCAACCTGGATATTGAAAACTCCTGGCGAAGTCCATTGAAGCAAACTTTATGGTACCAGTCCTAAAATAATGAATTTAGAGTTGTATAAGTGGGCAGAATTTATAGACAAAGACTTTCTTTTTCTGTTTGTTTTGTATTTCATCAATTTTAACAATAATTTTAAATATTTTGCAATAAAAGTTTGTTATTCCAGAGATAGCAACTTCCTGGTTATTAAATCACAGATTTTTAAACAAGTTCGTCTTATCGTCTTCCAATTCTAGGCCTAGACTACCTTTGCCTTTTGTTGGGGACCTGGAAATTTGGAATGGCCTCGGCTCGGGTTCGGTTAACTTAGTGTTAATATATTGAAGATTGATATATAGTTCTTTGAAATTTAGAGGAGTCTCGAATTGGCGGTCACAGAACCAGGCCTAAAACCCCTAGCATACAGACAGGGCCTGCCTAGGCTAGGTAGGTAGGTAGCCTGGGCCTAGGGGGAGGGGGAAGAATAAAGCCTACTCTAGACTAGGCCAAAACTCTAAGGCCTACGCTAGGCCTGGCCTAAATTTAGCCTAAGGTAAATATTATTTAATATGATTTTATTTAAACTTACAGGTACAGTACTACACTCTTTTCTACTACAATTTGTGTTTACTAACTAGACCTGTATAATTGTGCATGCTAGTTTCCAAGACCGGTGGGCCAGCACTCAAAAGGGGAAAACAATTACAGTAGTTCACACAAACAAAATTTGCCACATTATTTTTTCTAATTCTGGACAGCGCCACCAACGGATTATTATTTGCATGCGCGCGCGCGCTGAGTTGACTTTATATAATATCTGTCAAAAAGTTGGAAAAATCCTAAGAAAATTAATATTTCGAGCAACTCATTCAAAAGATTAAATATTAACTAAAACAATATACAGAAAGAAAAAATATCTCTCCCTGATTTACAGACATTTTATTGCAAAAATCCTTATAATAATAATATAGGCATACGATTCTTCACATTGGTCATGTAGGCCTAAAAGCCATTAACAGATGTATTAGTTACATACATGTCCGTTTAGTGACGTGAATGTTTTTTTCTTATTCAGGTTTTAAACCGTTTGAATTTTTTTTCTATTTTATGAAGTATTATTTTAGCGTTTCAATATAAACTGATTTATATATTACCACCCACCGGTAAGCCATCACAATGATGATTAAAATTACAGGGACGGGTTTATAGGGTATAAGGCTTTAAAAAAAAAACCCAGTAGGTCCACTGATAAGTTTAAGATAACTTAGTATAAAACATATTCCAAATAAAGTAAGACTAGTCATTTTGATTCAATATTTCGATCTTTTATTAGATCATCATCAGGAATGAATAAAGATTCCAACATTACAAACATATACTCCAGAGGTGTTACAGGAGGATATTCCTCCCGTGTTGTCATGTGGGAGTGGACTTTTATTCAATGGCGATTTTCTTCTGACTCCCACCCGCCACGATATTTTGCTTAGACCCCACCAGGCCGTGCACCTGAGGGAAAAATTATCCACGTTTACGACTCTTTTTAACCGTGGCTGTGCCTAGTAGGGGGCGACAGCCGGGCCGCGGGGGGTGCCAGGGACAGGGCCCGTTGGAGAGTGCTTCACCCTCCGTCAGGGAAAACATCACAATTCGTCTTGGAGGAAAAAAAAAATATATATATATTTTACATATTAGTTAAATAAACCCTTGAAAAACCCAAATTTATTATAGTTTTTGGGGGCTTTTTCACCTCAGAACGCAAATTTAAACAACACTATAATCATGGACCTATTAAGGTCCATGCTATAATCTTTCATGATTCTCATAATCTTGGAATTTTTTTAAAAATCACTTTACTACTACTTACTGTAAAGTTTTCGAACGCAGAGAGGTCCACTAACTTTGCCATATTTCTTCTGGAACTATAACCTTAACTTTTTTGTAGGTAGCAATCACCACACGTTGTCACGGTCAAAACAATACCTAAGGCTCGCCGCACTGGAGCTCTTGGTAAGTAGGCCTACTCCGAATTTTGTATCTCTTTTGTAGGTGTTCATATAGTCCTTATTGTTTTGAGGGTGCAGCAGAATCGATCGAAAACTGGGGTTGACGACAACGTAGAGCACGCGCCGTCTGGCTGATGACAGGTGGAGGTCGTGACGGTACAATGTTTTTAAAGACTTGTTGGACAAGCAATTAATTTGTAACACTTGATATTTTTTTTTCAATTTTAATATCAGACGCCACGGGTCCAAAATTCTGTGCTTAATGTGGCGTTGTTTTTATTCTCAGTAGTTGTTTTTATTCTCAAGTATTGCAAATTTCATTACTTTAAGTATTGCAAATTTCATTACTTTAAAAACGTTTGAAACAACGATCACACCCCTTTTTCAACTTAATTCTCCTCACGATAGGCATACACATAACCGACTGTATGTCTACGTCTAGGCTATTGTAAAGTACACACTCTTTCAACATCACCTATTTAGAATAATTGTTATATCTGGAGTACAATGTACAAGGTGCATTTTATGATAACGTACTGACATAAATACAGATAATGGATTTAAGTTTCAGAGGTGATTTTTTTTCACTGTCACGTAGTTTAGGTTCATTTTGGTTTAATGATGGGTGTTAGCATTACAGTTGACTTTCAGGACAATGAAACAGTAAATACGCAATATCCTGTAGTATTACATAAGTACCTACTAGTTTAGTCAATAATATAAGATAAAAGATTAAAGATAATTATTAACTGTTTGTTTATATTGTGTCTACGGTGCTACAGGGAATAGTTAAATTACAGTGCTACGTACTGTAGCAAACCTAATTTGTATAATTATTTACTTTGATTTCCTTTGCAACTTAATATTTCTAGCTCTTTTATGACAGAATAAACATAGCAATCATGATTATTAATACATTTAGAAGAAAAGAATTAAGTCCTATAAACGAGAGTAGAAAATAAGATGCGAGAGGAAGAGGGCGCGCGCTACAAATGAATATAAGTTATAATATAGTACGATACGATACGATACGATTTATTGGGTTCCACTTTCGTTCATTATTTCGTCCAGTCCCATCATAATCCCTGTTGGGGTAGTTGAGGCACGTGACAAGTAACAACACCGTCCACTCCCAGATGTTGTCCTTCCTTACTCCTCTTCTTCCTCCTTTCCAAGCCTTTTATTATAGTACTTTTAAATGTGCGTAAGGCCTAAAGCCATGTGTGTTAACGTTAAACTTCGGGTTCTGTTTTATGTTTGTATTTGTGTAAATATTTGTATATTTATTTGTATTTGTATGCATATGCTATAATTCATTAATACATTTGCCATATTATAATTGTGTCAATAACTTCAAATTCTTTGTACATCCAGTATTTTCAATGTTTTTATATAATAGATATCGTGTTCTCTCCGTCCTTCGTATGCAATATCTTTTTAACATTTAAAACAATTCCAATTTAATAATGTTTATAATTAATTATTCACTTGTGTAGTATATTTTATATTTTTATATGTATTTAAGACATCTGTAATTGAAAAACTCACTTTGCCAAAGTGTATTTGTAAACTTATACATAGATCACTTGAAATAAAATTGATCCAGACATTCATACAATGCACTGAAATTAAACGACTTTGCAAATTCTATTTTTCTCCTAATTTTTTACAGACAAAAATAAAAATGTTTAATATACTTTTCATATCCGCGAACTTGGCACGGTCGATTTTTATTTTCTTTATGACACTTGTTAGTATATTTTCAAGTAGTTATGTATTTGAGCGCAATTTAAATTTAAGACTTCAACCATAAAAGTTTATATTATCTAATAGATATGGCTCTAAATCAGGCGTTGCTTTCATTTTCGAATAAGTTTCATTTTATTTAATTTAGGTGCAGTATTTCGCAAAAAAGAAAAACAAAAAACAAAAAAAAAGCAAAACAAAAAAACGTTGAAATACATACAAAAGACAAAAATAAAAGGCTGTACCCTTGTCGTTGGCAGGATAAACAAACAAAAAAAAAACTTTAATTGCTGTAAACAGTTTTTCATAAGGGTGTTAATGTCACTAAAGTTTCTTGTTTCCAAAAAATTTGTATGATTGTTCCACATTTTCCTCATGGTTTACTTTATTGCACCGATTGAGGGCGTAATTTACGTTTTATGGAAGGCCACATTCATTAGTTTAGTCAGGTTTAGTTAAACCATTAAACCATGGAGTTGTTATAGTGACTATAACAACTCCCTGGTTAAACTCACAGACATTTATAGGTTTAATTTCGTTTTTTATTGGAGTTTTTGTCGATTTATGAAAAAACCATTTTATAAAAAAAATCTTTGTAATACAGTAACTTACTAGTGAGCAGATTATTGTAGAGACGGCAATAGCGTATCATACATCAAGCCTCGTGACGTCACTTCTCAAGGTAAACAATCGACGGAGGCTAGGCGTAGAAGTTGATTTTTTTTGTTGTAAAATCCCACTTTTTGTACTGCGAAACATCAAGATATGTGTCCGAAATATACGTGCGGTTTGAATTTGGTTGAGGTAGGAGCTTATACCATGTAATAATAATAATAGTATCATACACTAGCCTAGGGCCTAGATGATACTACTACTACTAGGGCTAGGGCTAGGCTAGGGACTGGCCCTAGGCCTAGGCGGCCTAGGCTAGGGTCTGGCCTTAGGCTACCTAGGCTAGGACTCTAGAGGCGCGGCTAGTAGAGCCGGGGGAGGCCCTATTAGGCCTAGCCTAGTTAGACTAGCCGTATTCGTGCGGACAGGTAGGTAGGCAGGCCTAGCTAGTCGATTGATGATATTGTATGAATGAAGGCCAACTTTAATTATAAGGGCCTAGGCCTAGTCCCCTCCCGTCATCTCGCAATGATTCCAGAATCCAGGTGGCTCTGAGTGAATCAGTGGTGGTGGCAGGATTTGCCTGATATAGGGGGTCCAATGTCTCCGACGGGAAGACCAATTTCCCGACGATAACATAAGGGATGGGGCCAGGTAACCCCCTAAACCTAAACAACCCCTTAAAAA